AATTCTTCATCAGCTTTTAGCACCTTAATCGTGGCCCCATTTATTTTATAGCTGTGATTACTAATATATGATTTTTTAAGTTTACAGTTTTTAACTCTAGTTAGAGAGAAAGATTTATTGGTGTTTATTTTGAGACCGCTCTTATTTAGGTTAGTGGGTAGGGGGTCTAATTTCGTTTGGAGAACTATTGGTGTTGTCGCGAAGACTATTAAGTCACCCGCATAGGTGAGGGAATTTATTATTCCCTTTCCAACCCTCACGCCAATGTCCGGTCAGGAGTTGCTGATTGCCTCTTACATGCACATTATAAAGAGTAGCGGCGACAATGGGTCGCCCTGCCTAACAGCGCTGTTAACCCTAAACCTCGTCCCCAGCATCTCCAACTAAGCATTCCTATACACTGATGCTATGTAGTTTACTAGTGGCTTTGGTGCTTCGTTTGCCTCAGCTACCCTAACTATAGTTTTATGTGAGACCGAGTCGAATGCTTTGGATATGTCCATGGAGCACATGGCTAAGCCTTTAAACCCTTGAGGGTGATATGTAAGATTATGCTAACGTCGAAGCACCCATCCCTTTTCAGGAAGGCCACTTGAGATCCCATATCCTTAATCCTGTCTTCCATTTGTGCGCAAGAATGCTGTGGAAGCACCGTAGGATCATCGGGGATACAGAGATTGGCCTGAAGTCAGTTGGTGTGCTGGGGCAATCACTCTTAGGTATGAGGGTAACTTTCGCGATCCCGAACTGTACCGGGACAGTTCCAAACAAGAGCATTAGGTTGAGTAATGCCCTGACCGTTTCTATCCTCCTATTCCTTAATGCCTTACTGTTACCCCATCTATCTCTGGAGCCTTGTTGGACATTCTGCCTGCAGCCTTTTTCACCTCACTAGTCTCTATTGGTTTGGCGATCTCCCAATCTGTCTCCCTAAATTTAACTACAAGTTTATTATCGTCTACGCCACTTGCTTGGAAGATCTCTCCCCAGTATTCCTCGTAGCCTTGAGGAAATTGAGTACCCTGGTAACCTTTTCTCCATGTTCCGTTTATAACGGAATGTGCCCCACGTTTTTTGTTATTCCTTAATTGTTTTTGTAGGTTTACAAAAACATCCCTCTTTTTAGGTTCTACGCTATCTGTAGGTATCCTACTTCCATCATAGGCTTCCTGGACTTATTTACATGCGAAAAGGATTTTTCCACATACTGACTCAATCTCCTCACCCCTTCATCATGCGCCAGATTTCCATACCGTAATTTTTTAGCCAGTTTAAAAAGTTAGTGATTTTTGGGGCATGTCTCTACAATATCTTGAAGTATTATTTTCCTCCAGTCCTCCATTTGTTCAGTTTCCCCCATCCCAGGTACTTCGGCTACCTCATCCGTCCCTCCAGGGTGCCAGAAGCTCTCCAGTGTCCTATGCGCTTTGGTGGCTGTCGTGTTGTCTCTCGTAGCCACAGGCGGTCCCTATCTAAGGAGTCGTCGTTTGATCGACTCCCGGCTGCTATGTGTAAACATGTTGCCCAACTTGCCATAAAGTTTGGTCCTGGGCAGCATTGGGTCTTCCCTCATGACCTTATTCATTCTCTCGAATAGGATGTCTTCCGAGTCCCAAACTCTTTTCCTACATGTTGAGCTTGCTGTTGTTGTGTCCCTGTTATATTCCACTTGGTGTCTGTGTCTTCTGTGTTGAGACAGGCCAATTTCGGTGTCAAAAGTTGCTGAGCATGACTCACAGCGGTATGTCACCATTAACTCCCCTACCCTAGCACATGCATTCGTGGACTCACATTGGTTGTTTACCACATAATCCTCATGCGCTCCCGAGGCTGGCACCAGGTTGGGCACTGATGCATTCATCTTAGATTTACATACAAACCCAAGATTTTCAAGTGTACTTACCTTTTTTCTCGAGCTGGAACTCGTCCTTGCTTGGTTGGTTGAGGCGTTGTGACGACTGGAGTTGTCCCCTGCTGATATTGTCGTCACAGGTGTATCAGTAGGAGTCCGGTTAGGCTGACAGTCAGCTTCAACACGTTGACAAGTGGGTAATACAGTTTGATTTCGTCCGCGGGATTACACTTACCGGGGCGGCGGTATGCCTCAGGGTAAGGGCGGGGTGTACTATTTTGGGGGTCGACCTTTTCTAACCCCTCCTTTCCGATGAAAAGGCAGCATGGGGTGCGTCCAGGTCGTCGCTACTTCCTAGACTCATGCTGGCCACCCGAGGAGAACACCTTACTGCTGCTACTCCCCCTATTGCCCCAGCAGTACGACTACGTCCTCAGGCCCATTTTTTTGGTAATGCTGTAGAGATAAAATCTCATAGCGAAGCAGTGGAAAGCGAGAAACCGTCCTGTATACCCACTTTGATTTTCCTGTGTGCCAAGAGCCACTGATGCCGAGTGATTGTTCAGTCTTATTGTAGAGGACCCATTAATATTATTGGGGCAAGAGCCGCTGGTAGGGAGTAATTCTTAAGTAGTGGAGAATACCTACTATACTACTATCATGGACTAATCTTACCTGTTGCTTAATTCCGTTTCCGCAAAGCATCTTTCCCAACAGCTAGCCAGCCATTATGAGGCGATCATCGAGTTTCACTTCTCCCGCACATAAGATGGCTATTACCACTCACAGTCATGCTTATAGAGGACCCTAAGGTAGGAGGGGGATAATTACTGTGGCTGCCTGCACATGGTGATTGCTGATATGGTTTGTAGATTTATCTATTATTATTATGTATTATTCATCTCAGACTTTTCAGCCAGTGAGTAGGAACCCTTTGGTATTGGTCCCTTTTGGGTTACTGTTTTCTTCAGAGAGGAAGCTCATACCCCCTAAGCCGTCCCTTAATATAGTAAGGAGCAGGGTGGGTGGAAAGATGTCGGAGACGTATACTATTCCACGTCCTGAGGTAATTTAGTACGAAGTCGTCAGCTTGCCTGACAGGAAATCTATAAATAACCCCAATTGTCACAGTGCCCTTGTTCAAGTTAATGACACAACTTGTGGCTTCTCTGGTGCCGCTGTTATGAGCTTCCGACAACGTTGATCTAATTCATATGTCATCCTGGATGTATAGAGTTACCCCTCCACCTTTCCGACTAATTACTCTGTCTGCTCTAATGCAGATGTACCCAGACATGAGTGGAATTAGGTCTACACTTACTTACAACCATGTTTCAGTGATAACAATCATATTAGGTTGTCACCCTTCAGACAACACTCCTAGTTCATAAAGCCTATTTCTAAGACTACAAGCGTTCTTATAGCACACTGAGAGGCCTACGTGTTCACTCGACTTATGAATAGAGGTCTGGGCAATATAGGTTTCCGAGACCTCACTACCAGAAAATCTAACACTTTGAGGTCTTTTTCACCTTCTTCTAGTCGGACACTTAATTCAGCCACGGCTCTCTTCTCTTAATTCTATCTTCCAGAGACCATTCGGGCATAATTCTCATCTTTTTGTCCTTGATCTTGAATGCGCCGTTGAGAATAATGCTTTTCTCCACCTCTTTCCCCAATGCTACCTTCATCAGTCGTGGGGAACTTTCCGTTACATCGGTGTTTCGTTTGCCGGTTCTGATGACTTCACTTATGTGAACTCCATTTGGTTTTTCAAGAAGTATTTCACGAATAATGGAGCTAACTACATCGAGATCACCAACATGTCGGGCAGCTGGATCTACTTTCTTTGATTCCTTCAAGTTCCAAATTACGATACTGTAATTTGGATCCGAAGGTTTTAAAATCTTATTAGTATTTACGGCCGTCGAGACCTTATCACTACGCTCAGTCCTTTTCTTTTTCCTTTAATTCTTCAACTTGGCATTAACCTAGTTAATTCCACTTTGCTCTCGCCGCAATTAGAAGCCGTGCGTTCACCAGAGACGCAACGCTTCGTCGTTATAGTATCACTCAGTGGTCTTACAATGTTAGCACTGCTTGCCTTCTTAGACTTTCGGGCCTTTGTGTCTGCTGTGGAGGACTTTTGGGCACACTGTGCCTCTGTTGTGTCTTTCAAAGCTTGGGGATGTGGTTCTGTCTCAGTCTTATGGCTCACTCCGGAATCATCATTCATGGCTTTTTCCCTCATCTGAGGATTTTGCCAATTTTTTGGACATAAGAAGTCTTATGGCCTCTTGGATAAGGACGTCCAACGGGCTGCTACAAAATTTGCACACCCACGAAGATGATGGTTTACTGCATCTCCTATAGGCTGATGGTGATAAGTCAGTGCAAACTTTATGAAACCATAGGTTGCAGTTATCATACTGCACAAAAAACAATACTTCAACTAACTAAACCAGTTAAAGTCAACCAGAAAGCTTCTTGTGCGATTTACACAACAAAAGCAGCAGTTACTTCACAACGTAAAAATGTCACTCTCTAATAGATAACAATTACGACCCGATTAGAGGTTGACAAGAGACACCACTGTATTATGCTTATCATTTCATTTCAATGAACTAGATTCCTACTTACTGTAAGGAGTCAACAGTCATTCTGCACCAATATAAATGGGATATTCTACATTCTAACCAAATCACTTTTGAAACCATTCAGGTGATTTTCACATGAGTACGTATGTTGCCAAGATATATCCGGAAAGCTGCACAAAAGAGCCTTCTTGCACCTTGGTAAGAAAACACGACACAGATGTTACACCCACGACAATATACAGAATCTAAGGAGCATGTTAAAAGATGCAGACTGAGACTTATTTACTGAAAAAGTCCTAGGTGACATAATCACAAACTTAACGTGTTGTCTCAAATTCTGTCTTGGTGTTTGTTGTCTAAAAGAGACAAGCTTCTTAAGATTTGATCACTTCTCCTCTTTTCAGTTCAAAATGCTTTCTCGAAAAAAAGAAAGGTGACACAAAATGAAAGACAATCCTAGTGTTAAGAGACTTTATATTTTAGTTAAGTCAGAAATACAGAGATTAGATATGATCTATAATCCAAAGTTCTTTCCATGCAAAGCCCCATCAAATATGTGAGAGTTGTTTCAGGAAATCACCGATGGTAAACAAATAAATAATGATACTTCTTTAGTTGATGTTGGTACTCTTAGTAAGTCTTTCATATGTTGTCCAGCTGACGTTATGATCTCAAATGCTACAGGTGCAAATAATGACTTTTCCGGTTTTAAGACAAACGATATCCTCATGTGTCTCAAATCCTTGAAACTTACCCAGTCCCTTTGTCCAGACAGTGTACCAGCTATTATCCTCGAGAAATATGCTGACATTTTATGTCATCCTCTCACTGATATTTTTAGTGAATCATTTGCCACCAACATTGTGCCTGCTTCTTGGAAGGACATTAAAATTGTTCCTGTGCCTAAATCATCAAGGGGATCAAGTGCTAAGTTAATACTTACTGCGATTACTTCACCTTTCTTAAAAACAATGGAAAGGCTGCTTTCAATTAACCTTCATTGACGACCCTAGTCAATTTGCTTATAAACACAACAGATATACAAGTACTAGTCTGTGCGTCGGTGGCACAGTGGCTAGAACTCTCACCGACTATGCACATAGTCCGGGGTTCGAGCTCACGCCGACGCACACCTGGTATCTATGGTCGGCCTGCGAAATTTGGGCTACCGATATCCACGCTGAAAATTCCATACTTGTACTAAAAATACAGTGTGGAATCAAGCTGTAATCAAAAATGAATAAAATAATAAAATAATTGTAGGGATTTGGTTGGTTGGTTACAGGATTTCATCATGAGCTGACGTCAGTTAGAGAACCATTGAAAACCTGGGTCCTGGGTTCGAATAGCGATGGGTGCGTACTGCTGAAGAGTCCCAAACTAGGACGAAACAGCTGTCCAGTACTCCTAGGTTTTCCAATGATTCTCTAACTGATGTCAGCTCATGATGAAATCCTGTAGCGAAACAACAGATATACTTTAGATATCACTGCCGTCTTATATTGTCTGTAGTTTAGACACAGGTGCCAAATACGTTTGGTGTGGTGTGGCTTCCTAGATTACACATCTGCCTTCGACTCTTTACCTAGGCCTCTTTTGTTAAACAAGCTTGCTGCGATACAACAGCAGTGCTGGACTAATAAGTGGTTGCATCTTTGTTTTTCTGATAGGAAGCAGTAAACTGTTTACAATGGGAAGTCCTCCACTGCTTCACTTACTCTGGCTGGTGTTTCCACCTTTCTGCTTTCTTTTTCCTTACATGACTTGTCCCATTCTGACGAAGCCAATTCTGTTAAGTTTTCCGATGATCTGACTGTTTCTATGCCTGTTATTTCTCAGTCAAACTGTTGCAAAATGAATAACATTTTATCAGACATTAGGCAGTGGTTCTGGTCAAATGGTCTTGAGCTTATTTCCCCCCAATGTCAGGTTGTTAATCTCACTTTTGGATACAAGCGCGACTCACATGAACTGGTTGGTTTGCACGGTTCCACTATATTAGATGACACTAAAGTTGAAACCAATCGAATGTTAAATATATTGGAATGTGTATTTCCTCTGATCTGTCCTGGTCTTCCCACATCGTTTCAGTTTCCAGAAAGATATCTCGTTTGACTTTATACGTAGGGAAGCTAAGATGATCTGGTATCATTCAGTCTGTACTGTTACAGTTTGTTAATTCTTTTATTCTGCCCATCCTTCTTTACTGCACCCGCTTAATCTTTCCAGGGCTACTTAAGAAATGCTTTGTTAGACTGTGAAGGGCACTAAAAGGCATCAGTAGGGCTAGTGGAGTGTTGCTCAACCAACTCATCAATACCTTTGTAAATAGACACATGCACTCCTGCAAGAAATTAGGGAATATGATTTTTTGGGACTCTGAGCATCCTCTCTACACACAACTCTCTTCTTGCATCTCATCGGGCAGAACTAAAAGCAACTGTAGCAGACTGTATGCTGGGAAGACTAAGTACAAAAACTTTACACTACCTTATTTAGCAAACATTTTATGTGATGCGAAAAGTGGAAGACAGAAAACTGGAAGTGAACGGCCCCATCTTTTTTTTGTAGTTGCATAATTGCTAATACTTTCACCTAATTTAATTTCCGTATTCCTTTTCTTATGGAACAATATTATTGATGTAAATGCCCTGTTTTAATTATTACTACTGTGATGAGAAAGTTAAATGCAACACTGCACTAAATGCAGAAAAGGCCATATTTGTACCTAGAGTAACGCTTGAAATATTATTATTATTATTGCTCCCTTGGGTTCATAGTGGAACATAGGGCTTCAACTGCACGTCTCCATTTTCTTCTGTCTTCTGCTATACTTCTCGCCTGCATCCATGTTAATCCATCTTCTTTCAACTCCTCTTCACACGATCTCCTCCATATCACCCTTGCACTGATGTCCCGCTCGCCGCTTCCCTTTCGGCCTGGTTCCACTCGAGCAATGGCCTGACGCGCGTGTGGTGTCACCCAGCAGTCTCCTCAGCGAGTGTCCAATCTATCTCCACTTTCTCCTGCATATTCGCTGGTTGGCGATTGGTTCTTGTTTTGTTTCTTCCCATAGTTTCTTGTTGGTGAGTCGTTCCGGCCCAGTCATCTGATCTTCAGTATAGAGCCAGCGAAGACAGTTGTTGATAAAGGTAACGTCTGAAACAGGCTGTTGGAAATATTCTTTCTGACCCAACCGCCAAGTTTCTGATCCGATCCGTATAGAAGAACTGACTGACTTGACGTTTGTATTGAAAATCCGAGCGAATTTTGTTGTTGATTCTGGCTGAGTGACGAAGATTTCCAGATTGATTTCAGGTTGATGAATGTGTTTCTCGCCTTCCCCATTCTCACTCGATTTCACATCCTCGTCCGTTCCGACTTCCTGTAGTTGAGACAATGCTCCCTAGACAAGTGAGTGAATGAAGTAACCTCTTTCAAATCCCTCCCGTTGATGTTGATTGACGTTGGATGTTGCTGTTGTTGTTGGTTGGTTATTTTCATAGCCTCCGTCTTGTCTATGTTCACCTGGAGTCCTGTCTTCGCCGGCTGCTTCTTCGACCAGTTTGTCGGTTTTCGCTTGTAAGTCTTCGATTTTGTGTGACATCAAACATAAATCATCCACTCGCGAAATCCAGGTCTTCTAGGTTCTTCATGTCGGTCCAGGATATCCCTTCCTGTCTTCTCGTTTCCCACTGTCTGACGCATAATCCAGTCCACGACAATTAGGAATATCATTGGTGATAGATAATAAGCACCCTTGTCTTATTCCTGTGCTTACTACAAACGCCTTGCTGAGTTTTCCGTTGTGGATCACTTGACAGGTGTTGTTGTTGTACAGCTGTTGAATAAGGTTGATGAATATTTGGGGTACGTCCTAGTACTCGAGTAGTTTCCAAATTACTTCACGATCAACGCTGTCGAAGGCCTTCTCGAAGTCTATAAAGTTGAGGTAGAGGTTTGATTGCCATTCCATGCTTTGTTCTTTGATGATGATGATGCGTAGAGTTGCAATTTGGTCAGTAAATGATTTGCCTGACTTTCCTGAATCCAGCCAGCTTGTTCTGGTCGGAGTTCTGTCTCCAGTGCGTCCTTTATTCTCCCAAGGATGATGCGACTCAGGATTTTACTTGAAATAAAGCTATTATTATTAATAAATATGGGCAAAGTGACAAAAACTGGGATTTGTGGTCAAAGCAGTTGGTAAAACGTGAAAAGTGGGTATCTTAGATCTTATTTTATGCACTTTTCGCCCCCGCCTCAAAGAATCAAAACTACCCGTTTTTCTTACTTTACCTATATGTACTCCGCAAATACTTGCAAGCAGCCTTCCCAATATACAATGTTCTCCATTATCCTAATTTTAACAATAAAACCTACATAAGTTCATTCTTGATCATATAATTAATAAAATGTAGCGAAGACTGGTCAGTGTTTTGGTCATCGTAGCTAAATTAGTCTGCTGCAGTCAAATCAGGGAACTGTATCTGTTTTCTTGAACAATTAACGAAATATTATTCACATTCAGATGATAAAGTACAGTATACCTTCTTTCATCTAGTAAATAAACAATTTCCTCCATCCATCCTTATATACCTTCAAGTTTTACTTTTATTACTTCTATTATATTTATGGTCCTGTTAATTCTCTGTTTTACTCTCATAATTGCAAACACCAACTTATCTCCATGACGGCTGTAATCTATGTTTTTTCCTTCCCCATATCATGTAGAAAGAACATTATATTCAATATTTTTAAACATGTTAGGATTTCTATACCACATTGCCAATACTGTGTGACACAAGCCAACGGCAATTTTCACTTGTATTATTATTATTATTACTACCCTAGCTGTTATCATTATTATTGCTATTTCCATTTTATATGCTGCATGTTTTTGACACTACCTCTATTGTAAATGTGAAAATTTTTCTGTGTGATTAATTTTATTTATAATTTGAGGAAATTAGATGCAATATTGTGATCAATGCTGAAAATTCCAATCTGTATCACAAGTACTGTTTTTGGAATAAAGTAAATCATTATTATTATTATTATTATTATAGTTTTTCAGACTATGTTAATCCTTCATTGAGTGAGGAATTACAGTCGTTAATCACCCTATTTGAGAATAAAAACTCCACAATAATTCTTTCGACGGCAGTTTGCTCACCTTCCTAGGATGAGGTCTCAAGGTATGCAAGTTGGAGAACATAGGTTAGGACGCTACATACTCAAGCAACCCATCAATATTCGTTATGCCAAAATTGATTCAACTCTCCTCTTTCGGTATGATAATGAAAACAGAGGTCCCAGGCTATTCTCATAAGCAAGGTGGGAGATACCACCGACTAGTTTACTTCCAACCGTTTTCACTCTTTCTAGGAATATAGAACAAGTGCTATTATGCAGTATTCTTAAAAAGACCTGAAATATGGCGAGTAGAGTACTTTAAACATAGACCTACTAAACATGTGAAGCCCTTTGAGGTGCTTGTAGCATTCGGAAAGCGTTAAATTTAGCTGTAGTATGGTATGCAGCTATTTTTAAGTCAAACCTTGTGATAATTCCTAAACTTTTTATCCCTTAACGTGTAAGGAATTTGACTAAGGTGTTACCATTCTCCTTACGCCATCTGGTGATTAAACGAATCACATGAGCACTGATCTCATCTTAACCTGTACAGTTTATTGTGGGTGCCCAGGTGGAGCACCTTACCTAATTTTTTTCCTTCACGTTCCCCAGTGGAACATAGGGCTTCAAGCTAGTGCCTTGAAGTTTCTGTAGCAGTGTTTATTTTACAGGATGGGTTTGCTAGCCCTATGCCCAACCTTTCCTCTCAACCAGTATTATTTCTGGCTTAGCGAGGTAAAGGAGTGCGTCGGTCGGGGATCGAACCCCGGACCATGTGCACGGTCGGCAAGCGTCCTAATCTCTGTGCCACCAAGGCACTAACTCTCTCTCATATTCTATATGACTTCAATTGACCATATGCTTAAAATGGTTATCATACTTAATCCGGAACATTCCCCTTCTCCCTAATATAGTAAACTGATCCCAAGTGTTGTTTTTTGGTAACCGTGAAGTAATTTTGTTCAGTG